GGTGCGCCAGGCGCGCCAGGTGCGCCACGTGTGCGCCAGGTGTGCGCCAGGTGTGCGCCCGGTGTGCCAGGTGCGCCAGGTGCGCCCAGAGCGCCACGTGTGCCAGGTGCGCCAGCTGCGCCAGGTGCGCCAGGTGCGCCAGGCGCGCCAGGCGCGCCAGGTGCGCCAGGTGCGCCAGTGGCGCCAGGCGCGCCAGGTGCGCCAGGTGCGCCTGTCGCGCCAAGTGAGCCAGGTGCGCCAGGTGTGCGCCAGGTGTGCGCCAGGTGCGCCTAGCGCGCCTGGTGCGCCAGGTGCACCAGGTGCGCCAGGTGTGCCATGTGCGCCAGGTGCGCCAGGTGCGTCAGGTGCGCCCAGCGCGCCAGGTGTGCGCCAGGTGCGCGCCAGGCGCGTCAGGCGCGCCAGGTGCGCCAGGTGCGCCCAGCGCGCCAGGTGTGCGCCATGCGCGCCAGGCGCGCCAGAGCCGCCAGGTGCGCCAGGTGTGCCAGGTGCGTCAGGTGCGCCCAGCGCGCCAGGTGCACCAGGTGCGCGCCAGGTGCTCCCAGCGCGCCAGGTGCGCCAGGTGAGCCCAGCGCGTCAGGTGCGCGCCAGGTGCGCGCCAGGTGCGCGCTACGCGCGCGCCAGGTGCGCCAGTTGCGCCAAGTGTGCGCCACGTGTGCGCCAGGTGCGCGCCAGGTGCGCCAGGTGCGCCAGTTGCGCCAGGTTTGCCAGGTGCGCCAGTTGCGCCAGGCCCGCCAAGTGAGCCAGGTGCGCCATGTGCGCCAGGTGCGACAGGTGCGCCAGGTGCGACAGGCGCGCCAGGTGCGACAGGCGCCAGGTGTGCCATGTGCGCCAGGTGTGCGCCAGGTGTGCGCCAGGTGCGCCAGTTGCACCAGGCGCGCCAGGCGCGCCAGGTGCGCCAGGTGCGCCAGGTGCGCCAGGTGCGTCAGGTGCGCCCAGCGCGCCAGGTGCGCCAGGTGCGCGCCACGTCAGGTGCGCCCAGCGCGCCAGGCGCACGCCAGGTGCGCGCCAAGTGCGCGCCAGGTGTGCGCCAGGTGCGCGCCAGGTGCGCCAGGTGCGCCAGGTGCGCCAGGTGCACCAGGTGCGCCAGGTGCGCCAGGTGCGTCAAGTGCGCCAGGTGCGCGCCAGGCGCGCCAGGCGCGTCAGGTGCGCCCAGCGCGCCAGGTGCGCGCCAGGTGCGCGCCAGGTGCGCCAGGTGCGCGCCAGGTGCGCCAAGGGGACAGGGAGGCCTCAAAGTGGTCTGCGTAAGACGTACCTCCGCTGGGCCTCCCCGGAACCCACGAAAGTGGCGACTGTTGCGCAGATCGCAGCCCCGCAGGGGACAGGGAGGCCTCAAAGTGGTCTGCGTATGACGTACCTCCGCTGGGCCTCCCAGAACCCACGAAAGTGGCGACAGTTGCGCAGATCGCAGCCCCGCAGGGGACAGGGAGGCCCCAAAGTGATCTGCGTAGGACGTACCTCCGCTGGGCCTCCCAGGAACCCACGAAAGTGGCGACAGTTGCGCAGATCGCAGCCCCGCAGGGGACAGGGAGGCCTCAAAGTGATCTGCGTAGGACGTACCTCCGCTGGGCCTCCCCGGAACCCACGAAAGTGGCGACAGTTGCGCAGATCGCAGCCCCGCAGGGCACCGCGAACACAGGAGAGAAGAAGGAGGAGAGGGCGGGAGGTGGATACCACAGTGCTCTATTCAAAACGAGTACCCAACACAAGGAGGGTTGGGAAAGAAGGCGATGGCGAAGACGAAGACGGGGGTGAGCACGAGGACAAAGACGGAAGAGATAATGAAGATGGCGACGATGAGGATAATACTGGTGAAGACGAAGATGTAGACGAAGACGCAAACGCTTATGATGATGAAAGCGCGATTGGGCACTGATAAGACAATATCCAAATCAAACTGTAAGGATCGCAAGATACTCGCTCGACGCCCGCGTATTTGAACGACTCGAGCGTTGAATGTAAAGACGAATATATCCAGGCATCCAGCGGCTAGACTTATTCGAAGCATGGGCCCCAGCACCTCCCGAGGGCTTATGCAAAATCGGCTGTTCATCCTGAGTCGTTTCTGATGGTCTTGGGAGGCCAAAAAAATCAGCAGTACAATGAAACAACTACTGGCTCGAATTTGCTCGAGCCACCGAAATCTGGGATGGGAGGTCTCGTCCTGGGGTGCATGCTGGCCAGAGCTTCGGAGGGAGGAATCGAGCCTTGGCGAGGAGAATCCTCCTGGAGGCCCAGTAGAAATCCAAATGCGCTCAAAATCCTCGATCCTCAATCCTTTTCGATCCTCATACGGGGGGCGCTCAGAAGGGCAAGTGCAGGAGGATGACCAGGCAAAGGGAGGGAGAGAGGGAGAGGGTGCCGCAAGCACCCCTCCTCCCTCCACCCCCCGCCCTCCCCGCCTTCATGCAGCAGGATTCCTGGAGTGGCCGAGGAAGGTATCTGTCTGTCCGGCGGTGGGGAAGGGCACATGCGTCCGCTCCGCTCCTCGATCTTCGGTGAGCGTCGCCTTGAAGTCCTCTTGCGACGTCGTGACCTGATCTGACCTTCGACATCCCTCCTCCTTCTCCTCCCCTCCTCCTGCCCCAACCCTCCGCCCTCCGCCCTCGTGCGCCCCCCTCCTGCCCGAACATCCTAACACCTCGCCAGGACCCCCAAGGAACCTCTCACATCCCATATCATCACAATCACGAACACCACCAACACCACCACCACCACCGCCATCACCATCACCATCATCATCATCATCATCATCATCATCATCATCATCATCATCATCATCATCATCATCAGCAGCATCAGCATCAGCATCAGCATCATCATCATCAGCATCATCATCATCACCACCATCACCATCACCATCAGCATCACCATCACCATCATCATCATCATCATCATCATCATCATCAGCACCATCATCATCATCATCATCAGCATCATCATCATCATCATCATCATCATCATCATCATCATCATCATCCTCATCCTCATCATCATCATCATCATCATCATCATCATCATCATCATCATCATCATCATCATCATCATCATCATCATCATCATCCTCGTCCTCATGGTCATCCTCATCATGGTCCTCATCCGCATCCTCATCATGGTCCTCATCCGCATCCTCATCCTCATCCTCATCCTCGCCATTCTCCTCATCCTCATCCTCATCCTCCTCCTCATCCTCCTCATCATCATAGTCGTCGTCGTAGTCGTCGGCGTCATCGTTATCCTCGTCAATGCCATCAGCATCATCGTCAACATCATCATCCTCATCATCATAATCATCATCATCACCACCACCACAACGTCATCCTACTCATCCTCGTCCTCCGCAGCATCCTCATCAGCATCCTCATCCTCATCCTCCTCCTCATCAGAATCATCATAATCGACGTGGTCATCGTTGTTAGCATCATGTCGTCGTCAGCGTCGTCGTCGGCATCATCATCATCATCATCATCATCATCATCATCATCATCATCATCACCACCACCACAACGTCATCCTACTCATCCTCGTCCTCCGCAGCATCCTCATCAGCATCCTCATCCTCATCCTCCTCCTCATCAGAATCATCATAATCAACGTGGTCATCGCTGTTAGCATTATGTAGTCGTCAGCGTCGTCGTCGGCATCATCATCATCATCATCATCATCAGCATCAGCAGCAGCAGCAGCATCAGCATCATCCCCATCATCAGCATCGACAGAATCATAATCGTCATGATCATCGAAGTCATCACCATCATCACCATCATCATCATCGTCGTCGTCGTCATCATCAATATCATCATCCGCAGCATCATCATGACGACGTCGTCGTCATCGTCGTCGACATCATCATCAGCAGCAGCATCGTCATCACCATGTCGTCATCGTCGGCATCATCAGCATCATCAGCAGCAGCAGCATCATCCGTATCACCATCATCATCATCATCATCATCATCATCAGCAGCATCATCATCATCACCATCATCAACATCATCATCAGCATCAGCACCATCATCAGCATCAACATCATCATCATCTCAATATTCATTGGCAGCAGCAGCATTGTCGTCATCACAATCGCCGTGGTCGTTGTCGTCTTCATGTTGTTCCTCATCCTCTTCCTCCCTCCTCCCTCTCCTCCTCCCTCCGCATCCCCCTCTTCCCAAAAATTCAAAGGGAATCCAGACATGGTGACGAGTGGCCTCGCGGAAACCCAAGGTGTGAGGGAAATGCCAAGAAGCAAACTCATCATCGATACAACCAATGCTCCATCCCCCATCCTCGACCCTCGACGACGACGACGAGGCCACGGCGGCCACGACCACGACCACTACAAACGACCTCGACCGACGGCGACGCCGACGCCTGCGAAGACGGCCGACGCCCATGACCACGACCACGGCGACGCCGACGCCTGCGAAGACGGCCGACGCCCATGATCACGACCACGACCAAGACCACGACCACGACCACGACCACGACGACGACGACGACAACGACGACGGCCAGCGTCGGACGCTCCGCTCCTGGTCGGGGGTCACCAGGCTCTGCAAAGACCACTCCGCGCCGCCGGCGCGCCGCGGAGCCCGCCCGCCGCACGCCTGAGCCGCTGGACCACGGCCCACCGCCCCCGCTGCCCAAAACAGGTGGTGAGACATCAGGTGGCGACCTGGCATCCCCGAAAAGTCACCGTCGGGTTGTTCAGCACGGGGTCACCGCAAGGTCCTTTTGTGACTCCTGGACCCACCAGCGTTCGGGACATCCTTGAGAAACCACACGAGGCCCCAACCACCAAATCGCCCGAGACTCACCGCCGGGTGTTGTCACCACCACGTTCTTGGGACTCCCAAAGTGTAGAGGATCGAGGGCCTCTTGGGCTCGGACTCGGACTCGGGCTCGGGCTTGGGCTGGGCTAGGACTCGGGTCGGGCTCTGTCTCGGGCTCGAGCAGGGGCTGGGGGTAAGGATCGGGTCGGGCTCGACCTCGAACTCGAGCTCGGGCTCAGGCTCGGGCAGGGGCTTGGGCTCGGGCTCGGGCTCGCGCTCGGGCCAAGGCGAAGGCCTGGGAAGGGGTCCAGATCTCTCTTGGGAGTTGCGTTGCGAACAATTCGCGACGTCGAATGGCTAGGTCCTGGAGGCCTCGCAGAGAAGGCTAAAAACGTCCAAGAACCCCGATGCAACGAGGGCAGGACAAGACGGAGCACCGCACTGGACCGGGTTCGGCCCAGGGCGGGCGCTCAGAGATGCACCCTCGAGCTGGGGCCAGGCTGTCGCCTGTGAGGCTAAGCCGTACAAGTTCTCGGAGGGAACAAGTCGTTCCCCGCGCACGAAGGCAGCAGCATCTGCGTGCTGATCGGCCACGGAGCTGAATCCGTCGCGGCGTGAAATCGGTCGATATTCTAAAGCCGTGTTTTGCTGTCTGCCGTGGCAACATTATGTGTCCATCCGTCGCGGTGCCCATGAGGGGGTTGCTCGAGGGAGGGGCTTAGGTGCTTCTAACTTATACGAAAAGCAGTGGTTCATAACCTTTTAGAAAGCAGAGGCCTTCTTAGCCCAGAGGATTATGAGAAGGCTTCTGAGTAGCGGGGCGGGGCCTTCTAAGAACGCCCCTGCCTTTTCAGAGGCCCCTCCGCCTTCTTAGAATGCCGTCCCCCTCGCGCCACCACCTTGTGGGCGCCGCCAGAGTGGCAGCATTGCGTGACCATCTCCACACGCGCTTCCTCGACGCGCGTCAACCATTCGTCAGATCTGCACTTTGTCGGCGACGCCTCTATGGCGCTCGAAACCATCCATACCAACGATACCCAGAACTCGACTTTACCCGCGCCACTGCTGGCTGCGCCCACATTGGAGTTGCGAGAAAGGGGGGGGCTTCTAAGAAGACAGGGGCCTTCTTAGAAGGCCCCAGAGGCTTCTAAGAATGCATATTAGAAAGCTGGCGGCGTTATAAGAATCCCCCATCCCTTGTTGGAAGCCCCGCCGCTTGCTTAGAAGGCCGCCCCCCTCGCGACGCCCCCTTGTGGGCGCCGCCAGCACTGCTGACACCGATCGAAGTCTCGCCTTCTGCGAAATTATCGTCACTGAAGCCTCTGCCGCCTTCATTTTGGCTACTCGGCCATTGCAAACGTTCAAGAAGAAGAACTGCACAGGACAGTGGGGGTCCCGTCTGCTACACGTATGAATGGCCCTCGGCAATAGCGACCTTTAGCACGCAGCTTTAGGGGGCGGGGGGGGGGGGGGGGGGCGACACCCACTCCCGAACACGCGAAACCAGGATGCCAGCGAATGTAGCTTGCAAAAGAGATCCTCTTCGTTGGCCATGAAGGCGCTCCAAGCTTGACAGCGGAGGTAGAGAAGAAGGAGGAGCAGGAGGAGGAGGAGGAGGAGCATCCTCCCTAGACCTTCGGCGTCTTACTCTCTAATACGTGAGGCCCTGGAACTCTCGACCACTTCCCGGAGGCCAGGTCCTTTCTTTCGCAACCCTGGAGCGCGCAGCGCTGGGCCATCACCTTCGACCTGGCTTGTCTGCCGCCCAGGGCCCGAAAGGGGTTTCCGGATACCAATAACTGCGAAAACGATGGAAGCCTGGGTACCCAGACATCCGACGTCGTGATTTGTTCGCAACGCGGCTTCCCAAAGATCTGGTCCCCTTCCCGGGGACCAGCTTTTCATCCTGCGCCTTTTGTTGACGGTCCCGGGCCCCGCAAAGGCGCCGTGAGGCCAAAAGTTATCAAAAACCTCCCGTCGCAACATGTAAAGAGGCCCAGGAAGACACGACTACATAGACACTGATCCCAAGATTCCCAACATGTTTCTACATTTTCTGGGTTGTCGACTTCCCCTCCACTTCCCGTATGTCCCCACATTTTCACGGAAATTGACGCTTGTTCGTGTCTGTGTCTTTTTCCCCTTTGATCATGACGCGATGAAGTCTGGGCCTGCACCCACCATCCAAGCTGTGGTGGTGCGCTTCCTCCCCCTGCGTGCTTCCGCTGTTGATTGCTCCCCCTCCCTCGGCGCCATCGTCACCGCCGCCACCGTCGTCGTCACCGTCGCTCTCGTCGTCCCTGTCGTCCCCGTCGTCCCCGTCGTCCGCATCGTCCGCGTCGTGATTCGAAACTCCACCTGAAATCCATCCTGGCCGGTGTTTCGCGCTGCGTCCACATGTGGCGACGTGAACCCTCCCTAGTTCTCAACCCCTAGCCGAATCCCCAGAAGACCCCTGCTGCATCCAAACCCCTCCCCCCGTGCCCCCAGCAGCCCCTCCCCAATCCTTCCCCGATCCTCGATCCCTACTCGATCCGTACCCACCCAGCACCTCCTCCTCCTCCTCCTCCTCCTCCACGTTCTCCTTTTCGATTCCTCTTCCTCCTCCTCCTCCTCCTCCGCCTCCTCCCCCTTTTCCTCCTCCTCCTCCTCCGTCTCTTCGACTCCTCCCCGATTCATGATCAATCCTCGTCTATTATCATTATTCCTCTCGTACGGCCTACGACCTTAGGATGCCGCGTCTCCTGCCCCGAAAGAACTGCGTGGTGCAACTTACTCGGTGCGGTCCTTAATGCGATAGCCTCGGCCAGAAATGCGGACCGATAATTTCGTACAAAAAAGCAAGATCTGCCATTCCCTTTTTGCTTCCGTCTCGTCAAACCCTGAACAGAACTATACTTGTTGCTCCTCTGACTTCTCGGACAAACCCGCCGTCCAAATCCCCATTTCTCCCTCCGTCCCCCCCCTTTTCTTCATCATCTCTCCCTCTCTGTCTCTCTCTCTCTCTCTCTCTTTCCATCCTCGTCCATCCCTCCTCCCAGGAACCTGCTGGTCCAGCAGTTCCCGCAACGCGGGCTCCGAGACCACCTTCGGGGGGGTAAGCAGCGGAGCGACGGGAAGCCCGACAGCCATCTCGATCTTGAAATCCTGTTCGGAAACTAAGGTTGCGCGCGACGCCGCGCGCGTGCGGACGTTAACTCATGTCATGCAGGGGGTTTAAGAAACTGGAGTTCGTGATGGACGAGTGCGCGCGCATAGTATTATTCCCCACATCCAAAGTGGGGTTCTTGTTTTCTCTGGACACCCCGCGCAGGAACAGGAACACACACACACCCACTCACACTCACTCACACTCTCTCATCATCAACCTCATCAGCATCATCGATGATGCTCTCTCACATGCTTAGTCACTCACATACTCATCATCATCATCACTCGCACTCTCTCACACGCTCACGAACATCATCATCATCATCATCATCGGCATCGGCATCATCCTCATTCAAACATCATCATCGCCACCACCACTCACAATCAATCATCATCCTCTTCACCACTCATCTTCACCACCACTCATCATCCTCATCCTCATCATCGTTGAGTAAATTGTGAGGAAGTCTCAGGCGGGAGCCCCCTCCCTATGGGGCCCGCAGATCATGTTGGTAATCCGAGCGGGTCATCGGAAACCTGTAACTGTCGTCACTTTTGGGCTCGTCAAGCCTGAAAATGGAGGAAGTCTCAGGCGGGAGCCTCGTCTGTGAGTGAATTGGGAGGAAGTCTCAGGCGGGAGCTCCCTCCCTATGGGGCCCGCAGATCATGTTGGTAATCCGAGCGGGTCATCGGAAACCTGTAACTGTCGTCACTTTTGGGCTCCTCAAGCCTGAATTTGGAGGAAGTCTCAGGCGGGAGCCTCGTCTGTGAGTGAATTCTGAGGAAGGCTCAGGCGGGAGCCCCCTCCCTATGGGGCCCGCAGATCATGTTGGTAATCCGAGCGGGTCATCGGAAACCTGTAACTGTCGTCACTTCTGGGCTCGTCAAGCCTGAATTTGGAGGAAGTCTCAGGCGGGAGCCTCGTCTTCTGAGTGAATTGTGAGGAAGTCTCAGGCGGGAGCCCCCTCCCTATGGGGCCCGCAGATCATGTTGGCAATCCGAGCGGGTCATCGGAATCCTGTAACTGTCGTCACTTTTGGGCTCCTCAGGCCTGAATTTGGAGGAAGTCTCAGGCGGGAGCCTCGTCTGTGAGTGAACTGCGAGGAAGTCTCAGGCGGGAGCACCCTCCCTATGGGGCCCGCAGATCATGTTGGTAATCCGAACGGGTCATCCAAAACCTGTAACTGTCGTCAATTTTGGGTTTTCGCGCTGCCAGAACGCAGCTCCCAGGCCACATTTTGGAGGCAACAAGGAAGTTTTTGGGCTCCTCAGGCCTGAATTTGGAGGAAGTCTCAGGCGGGAGCCTCGTCTCTGAGTGAATTGCGAGGAGCCAACTGTAGGCCACTTCGTGTTCGTCGTGTTCCCAGAACGCTATTCCCGGCACGCATCCACTGGGACGCACCCCTGTGCGCTTCCTCTGGGTCGTGCCCCCGCACGTATCCACTGGGACGCACCCTTGTGCGCTTCCTCTGGGTCGTGCCCCTGGCACGTATCCACTGGGACGCACCCCTGTGCGTTTCCTCTGGGTCGTGCTCCGGCACGTATCCACTGGGACGCACTCCCGTGCGCTTCCTCTGGGTCGTGCCCCGGCACGTATCCACTGGGACACACTCCCGTGCGTTTCCTCTGGGTCGTGCCCCCGCACGTATCCACTGGGACGCACTCTTGTGCGCTTCCTCTGGGTCGTGGCCCGGCACGTATCCACTGGGACGCACCCTTGTGCGTTTCCTCTGGGTCGTGCCCCCGCACGTATCCACTGGGACGCACCCTGTGCGTTTCCTCTGGGTCGTGTTCGGCACGTATCCACTGGGACGCACCCCTGTGCGCTTCCTCTGGGTCGTGCCCCCGCACGTATCCACTGGGACGCACTCCTGTGCGTTCCTCTGGGTCGTGTTCCGGCACGTATCCACTGGGACGCACTCTGTGCGCTTCCTCTGGGTCGTGTTTTGGCACGTATCCACTGGGACGCACTCCCGTGCGCGTCCTCTGGGTCGTGCTCTGGCACGTATCCACTGGGACGCACTCCCGTGCGTTTCCTCTGGGTCGTGCTCCGGCACGTATCCATTGGGACGCTTCACATTTCGATCTACATTCGTGCTTTTGAAGCAGGAAACTATGCCTTTTTTTTCCCCACATCCAAAGTGGGGTTCTTGTTTTCTCTGGACACCCCGCGCAGGAACAGCAACACACACACACACACACACACACTCACACTCACTCACACTCTCTCATCATCAACCTCATCAGCATCATCGATGATGCTCTCTCACATGCTTAGTCACTCACATACTCATCATCATCATCATCACTCGCACTGTCTCACACGCTCACGAACATCATCATCATCATCATCATCATCATCGGCATCGGCATCATCCTCATTCAAACATCATCATCGCCACCACCACTCACAATCAATCATCATCCTCTTCACCACTCATCTTCACCACCACTCATCATCCTCATCCTCATCATCGTTGGGTAAATTGTGAGGAAGTCTCAGGCGGGAGCCCCCTCCCTATGGGGCCCGCAGATCATGTTGGTAATCCGAGCGGGTCATCGGAACCCTGTAACTGTCGTCACTTTTGGGCTCCCCAGGCCTGAAAATGGAGGAAGTCTCAGGCGGGAGCCTCGTCTGTGAGTGAATTGGGAGGAAGTCTCAGGCGGGAGTTCCCTCCCTATGGGGCCCGCAGATCATGTTGGTAATCCGAGCGGGTCATCGGAACCCTGTAACTGTCGTCACTTTTGGGCTCCTCAAGCCTGAATTCGGAGGAAGTCTCAGGCGGGAGCCTCGTCTGTGAGTGAATTCTGAGGAAGGCTCAGGCGGGAGCCCCCTCCCCATGGGGCCCGCAGATCATGTTGGTAATCCGAGCGGGTCATCGGAACCCTGTAACTGTCGTCACTTTTGGGCTCGTCAAGCCTGAATTTGGAGGAAGTCTCAGGCGGGAGCCTCGTCTCTGAGTGAACTGCGAGGAAGTCTCAGGCGGGAGCCCCCTCCCTATGGGGCCCGCAGATCACGTTGGTAATCCGAGCGGGTCATCGGAACCCCTGTAACTGTCGTCACTTTTGGGCTCCTCAAGCCTGAATATGGAGGAAATCTCAGGCGGGAGCCTCGTCTGTGAGTGAACTGCGAGGAAGTCTCAGGCGGGAGCCCCCTCCCTATGGGGCCCGCAGATCATGTTGGTAATCCGAGCGGGTCATCCAAAACCTGTAACTGTCGTCAATTTTGGGTTCTCGCGCTGCCAGAACGCAGCTCCCAGGCCACATTTTGGACGCAACAAGGAAGTTTTTGGGCTCCTCAGGTCGCCGAGGTGCTGCGACAGGGCGCCGAAGGCGCCGACGACGACGGCCAGGCCGAGGCGCGGGCGCGGAGCTTGCTGATGTTCAGGCCCAGCGAAAGGGAGTTCACATGGCAGAGCTCGGGGGCGCACAGCGTGCGCCGCTCGGGGTTCACCCTGACGCACGCGTCCTACCTGACCTCCACGCTGTCGCAGGGCCAGACGCTGCGCAAGGGCGTCACCATCGACTGCGCGAGAGACGAGGACGCTGGCCGCACGGGCATGTCGGACGAGCAGTGGTGGCTGCACCTCTACGTCATGTTTTCCCGCGCCACGTGCATGCGGAACATGCTGATCCTGCGGCCGCCGCCGCGAGAGTTCCTGGAATGCGGGCCGCCGGCGTCCCTGCGGAAGGCGCTCCTGGAGTTCGACAAGAGAGCGGTTTTGTCCAGGGCGGAGGCGAAGCAGCTCGCGGCAGAGCTGGGCTTCGTGCTGCCTTCCGCCTGAGCGCGGCTGCGCCTCGCTCGAAGCCCGCGGGGTTGTCCCAACGGCTTGGTCTTGCGCGCCAACGGCTCGCGGGGTTGTCCCGACAGCCTGGCCCGCGGGGTTGTCCCAACGGCTGCGCGACGTGACCAGTAGAGAACGCGCCTGTGCTGGCCGTGGCGGCGACGGCGCCGAGGAACATCGACATGCGCGCTCATGCAACAGGAAGGGGAGGAGGTGGCGGGGCGCGGAACAAACAGGGGGGCGAGGATGGGGACAACGTAAGGAGTGGAAGGGGGGCCCGCGCCAAGGCGAGAGGAAATATACGCAGAAGAGACAGCCAGGACGCCTCACCAACCACGAGGACGACGGTGATGGCTTTTTCCAGATTCGCCCAGAGGATTCTTATGTGGGGTTCTTCCGTCGGAGTAATTTGACGAGGGTGACGGGGCGTATGGAAAGTGAACGAAAGTGCGGAATCATATGTAAAGTGCACATCCCCATGGGTGCGGAGACATCTAGAGGGGAAGGATGGTAGACCCGATACTTACTTTGAAAAAGAGTAGCCGGTGTGGCGCATGTGATGCTGCGCAAATGTTGTTATGAGGTCTGTGTGGTGCAGCTTTCGTGGTGCAATTTATGGTGTCATTTATATGGTGTGCAACCTATGTGGTTCAAGATGTGTGTTACAATGTGGCGCTATCCAATGTGCGCAATTGATGTTTACAAATCAGCTGGGTAATTCCATGTTTTTGCAAACATCCCACCCACCCACCCCCCATGTGGTTTGCAAAACCCATGCGGCGGCGATTGCGATGAGTGTTTGGCGTTGGCTGGTGCATCTCTGCGGCCGCGCTAACCCGCGCACGTTCGCGCGCACAACAGCCAGTTATTTTGGCGAGACCGACGCGGCCGCTGTGGCGCTGACCGCTAGGCACTTCCTAACGGGCACTGCAGTGCGAGTCGGTGAGTTGGGCGGGCGCGGTTTCATGGCGACGCCGACAACGGTAGCCACGATTACGAGTAGCGATGATGGTAACGATGGTGGCGCTGACGACGGCAAGATCAATGACGGCGCCGATGTTGATCACGCCCGCCGATGACGATGACGTCCTCGCGTCGGCAATGAAGGCTTTTGAAAGAATTCGACATGCGCGCGCGGCCGACGCGAGCGAGAAGTTATTTGACACGGATAGTGCCTCCACCCGACACGCGAGCAAGGGCGTCCGAATTACTTCGACATGCGCCGCGACAGGTCCGTTTGACTGAATGTGACGGACACGTTGATAAACCTACGCTTGTCTTGAGAACCCAAAAGATTGCGATCGCAGGATGTGCTTGAAAACGGACATTGAGAAACCATGTGTGCTGATATGTCTTCGGGGCACTCATGTTTGGAATCCGTACGAAACGTCAAGGTTTTTGTTCAGGGATTTCGGCATGCGCGCACGGCGACGCTCGCGTGTGCACTTCGTCTTATCTGTTGCAAGGGATTGTTGCGACCGCACGCGCGCAAGGGCTGTCGAGTGTTTTCGACATGCGCGCGCGAGGGGCCCGCTTGGTAGCATGTTAAGACCATGCTGACAAGCCCATGGATGTCTTAAGAATTCACAAGAGCGCGCGCGCACGCTTCTTTTGAAAACCCGTGTTGCGAGGCCATGCGTTCGTATATGTTTGCGTGATTCAATTTGAAATTCTGACGAAACCTAAGGTTTGAAAGATTCCGGCATGCCCGCGCGACATGTCGTCCCATTTACTGCAAGGGGTTTCCAAAAACGGATGATTTGTGATAAACGTATATGCGCGCATTGAACGTATTGCGAAGGATGGGGTGACATTACCAGTTTAGTTGGGATGAGACGAGTTCACATTCAGGATGGAACGAACATCAGCCAGCGTTGACTCCAAAAAGATAGGAGAACAGGAAAAGGACGAGAGGAGGATGGGAGGAGGACGAAACGAGGACAGGAGCAGGACGGGAGGAGGACGGGAAGAACAAAAGAAAACAAGCGCAAACAAGCAAACCGAAGCAAGCAAGCGCAAGCGAGCATAGGCATAGGCATAGGCGTAGGAATAGTCATCGGCATAGGCATTGGCATAGGCATAGGCAAAGGCATAAGCGTAGGCATAGGAACTAAGGGGGAGGCATAAGCATAGGCATAGCCATAGAAATTAGGGGGATAAGAATCGGGGGGGCAACGGACCAATTAGTAGGGTTTGAATTAGAACACCTATCGGGCAAGCCTAGTTGGAGAAAAGGTGGCCCACTAAGTCCTGGCGGGGGGGGGAGATCCTAATACTCTTGTAGAAGAGGAGAACCCACGTGGCGCAAGCAATTTCGCATAATCTATGTTGCGCACTCTATGTGGTGCAATCTACGTTGTGCAATCTACGTGGGGCAACCTATGCGGCGGCGCCGAGACGGCGACGGGGCGGCGACGGCAACAACATAGCCGCCAGACCGCCAGGGCGGCGACGACGCGGCAACAGGACGGCGACGGCGGGAAACGGCACACAGGCCCAGGCGACGGGCGGCGACGAGGCGGCGACGGCGGCAACACAGCCGCCAGAGCAACAGACAGGCCCAGTTCCTCGGAGAAGAAATTTGAGAAAACCCTCAACGCAAGCCCTGCTTGGGGAAAAAAATCCTGCCCCACATTACAAACAGCACGCGGAATGGACCTGCTATCCGCGCCCGACCAGGAAGGGGGGGGCGGAGGGCGAGCGAGGGAGGAGGGCGTGGGCGGGAGGAGAGGCGGGGAAAGGACGGCAGGGGCGGGGCGGGCGCAGCAGGGGAGCGCGGGCGGCTCAGCGAGGCGCGCGGGCGCGCTTGCCCTTCCAGCAGGCAGCGCACCAGGCGCCTCCAGCGCAGGGCGCCCGCCGGCGAGGCCTCGGACGCCCGCCCTGCACCTCCACTGACTCGCGGCAGACGCTGCAGTGGCACCTCCACTTCGCCGCTGGTCTGGCGAGGAGGCGCTCGCCGAGGTCATCCCCCGCCGCGGGTCGCCCCGTGGCCCCCCCCGGGGATCACCCGTCCGCGCAGGAGGCGCGGTTTGTGCGCGTACGCCTTCGGCAGCTCGCAGAACCCGAAGGCCACGACTGCGGGGGTGACCCTGCTTCGCGGGCCACCTGGGCCACTGCCTCGCCCGCCTCGTCTCGGCTGAGGGGGGGGTCCTGTCCCGCGTCTTCAGCCTGGCCACCCACGGGCCCCTCGTCCTGACCCGTCCTCCCGCTCGCGGCCAGGATGCCCCTTGTGGCCCCTGGCCCGCTGGCCACCCACGACGAACCGTCGGTCGGCCGCCACGCTGTAACCCGGCCCCGCACCACGCTGCAAAGGAAGAACGTCCAGAAGCCCGCCCGCCGCCACAGAAGGCCGACCGGTTTCTGGACGAAAGATGGCCCCGAAGCCGGTCTGCCTGCGTGGGCGGGCGCCAACAGGCACCGCGCGCGCCCGCGCGCTGGGGCCGCCGATGCTGAGCCAGCCGCACGAGGCCAGGAGCGGCACCACCGCCTCGATCGGCAAGGTCGGCGCCTGGGCAGCGAGGAAAACGAGCGTCAGGTAGACGTGGAGAGCCAGTTCCTCGACCACCTCCAACGCCTGAGTGACCATCGCGGCGTACGTGCCCGCATCCGGCCCCTTGGAAAGGCCGCGCAGGAGTCTTGGCGGCGCGCGCCCCCCGTAAAGTTGGAGGCCCCCTGCCACTGGGTCGTCCCGGAGGTGCAGCAGCATGGTCTCGAGGCCAGCCAACACCGAGGGGCCAAGCTCTCGACGTACCCCACGCGCGCAATCCAGGACGGCGCCCCGCCAAGGTACTGCCACACCGCTGTGGTGGCGAACGCCCCGATGGGCACGTCCACCTGGGACGCCTCCTCGGCGCGGGCCGCGGCCCCGCGGCGCACCCCCCCCCAGAGGGCGCACTTCACCGGGGGCAGCTCCAGCTTCATGGGGATCAGGTGCCGGGCCCTGAATCGGTTCCTGCACTCGCCCGCCGCGAGGCCCGGCAGGGCGGCGCTGCAGGCGCCACGCTGGTGGGATGCCTCCCACAAGGCGCTGTAAGCCTTGATCGCTTCGGAGCACCGGGCCACCTCGCACTCGGCGAAGGCGCCCCACATCCGCGGCCTGGCCCAAGGGCGCGTGGAAACGAGGACAGGGGCGAGGAGTTGCGCGGCGGCCGCGGCGCGCGGGCTGCCCGCTCCTGGACCAACTCTTGCGGGAGGGGCCACCTCGGCAGCCGCGGGGAGGAGTAGAAGGCCACCGCCCCCCCCCCTGGCCCCCCGGACCCCCGCCAACGCGCGGCCACGCGGCGGGCCCGAGCTGGAGAACCCCCATTCGATGCTCTCGGGGATGGATCTGAGCTGGCCCGTTCGCCGCCGTCACCCGTCGCCCGGCGACGGAAGAGGCAGGATAGGGAGGGTCTCAGGGGCCGTTCTTCCTTGCAACGCCCATTCGACCTGCGCGCCTGCTCGAAGGAAACCGAATTTGGGGCCGAAGGGAGGTTCTTCCTTGCATGTCCCACTCGGCCCCGGCACGCGCGCTCGCGTAAAAAACCCGACACCGCGACCCCGAATGAGCCAAAGCACGCGCATGCACCCTCGAGCCGCGACCCTGAATGCGCCAAAGCACCGCCTGGCACACCACTGATACTGCTAGTACTACGTTAGACAGTATACGAGTGTACGCACCATGATAACTATAGTGAAATTGCGGCAACGCTATGACATTGACTGCCACGCAGTGTCCCTGCCACGCGACTCCCGATTGCCTCATAAGGGCCCCGACAAAGGCGTCCTTGATAACGCAATCGGAATATAAACGTTGCGCTTTCTGTCACAACAGACCACACGCTCCAGGCTCCAATCCGCAGGCTGCGTGAACGTGCGGACCATGGCGGCTGGATGCACGCATTCCCCCTGACAGCATGACGAACTTTTGGAATGCTTCTTGGGCCGTCCGAGACCGACCCCCGAAGCTGTCTGCGGGGCGGTTCGGGGCCGTCCTGGGCCGCAAGGACGGCTGTCTGATCGCTCTGGGGGCCGATTTGCAGCCCCCAACAACGGGCCCGGCCGCGCCCCGAAATGGGTCGGCCCCTCCCGGGGCTAAAAAAAGACCTGGAGAAAAATGTGAAAAGTGCGCCGCCCCCGGGGCCGGGGGCCCAGTTCCCCGTCAGATGATGCTTAAGCATAAACCAAATCAAACACAAGTCTCGCCATAGAAAACAAAATAGAACTCGTCCTCGTCAAACAGAACGGCCCGCGGCGAGCCGGCTCGCCTTCGCCAAGTACTCAAGTGCCGCACCTGCCTTCCAGTTATTGACCACTTACCAGACCACCCCAACCCAACCCGAAGACCCGAATTTCGGGTTGGGGGAACACGGGTTCCATTATGTTCCCGCAAAGGGCTTAGGCCCAGGGTTCTCTTTTAGTGTGTTTACCCCCGGTTCTGATGGCTGCAGGGGCGGCGAAATTATTCTGCGATAAATAACCAGGTCGCGTAGAGCCGGCGGAACTATGTTTGAGGATGTCTCGAGCGAAACGCTTGTGTTCCAGAATTTGTTGAGGTTGTCTCAAGCGAAACGCTTGTTCTGCGCTATAGATTGTCCTCTCCTGGGGACCTGAATTCAGAGGATCTCTCAAGTGAAATGCTTGTTTTCACGTGCCCAGGTCTTGAGGATTTCTCGAGCGAGACGCTTGGTTTCACGCCTCCAGGTTGCCCAGACAGATGTCTAGCATGAGGATTTGTTGAGGATGTCTCGAACCAGACGCTTGTTTTCACGTGTCCAGGTCGCCCAGGCGGATGTCTAGCATGAGGATGTGACGAGGAAGTCTCGATCGAGACGCTTGTTTGCACGTGTCCAGGTTGCCCAGGCGGATGTCTAGCATGAAGATGTGCTGAGAACGTCTTGAGCGAAACGCGTGTTTTCACGTGTCCAGGTCGCCCAGGCACAGCACAGCCCTCGGCACGGTACATCAATATCGATACCCTTAGCATTGCAGCCTGGCATGTTGCCTGGCACGTTCCGCGGAGCGTCCCGTGGCGAGTCCCCCTGGCACGTCGCGCGGTGCACGTCCATTGGCACGTTCCGTAGCGCGTCCCCTTGGCACGTCCCGCGGTGCGTGCCCATGGCACGTCCCCTGGCACGTCGCCTGGCGCGTCCCTTGGGACGTTCTGCGGCGCGTCCTCCTGGCACGTCCCTTCTGTCGAATAGTTCTGGGGCAGCTACCATCTGCTCAGGCAGCTCGAGCTTAAGATCCAGATCAGTTCGGTCAGGACTCGGATGCCAGGGAGGACTCGATCCACAACGCTATATAGAGCACAATCGCGGCATGGCACATCGCAGTTCAGCACGGCCCAGCACAGCACAGCCGTCGGCACGGTACATCAAGATCGATACACTCAACATTGCACCCGTTCCTTGGCGCGTTCCGTGGCGAGTCCACCTGGCACGTCGCGCGGCGCGTCTCCCAGCACGTCCCGCGGCACGTCCCGCGGCAGGTCCATTGACACGTTCCGTGGCGCGTCCCCTTGGCACGTCCCGCGGTGCGTGCCCATGGCACGTCCCCTGGCACGTCGCCTGGCGCGTCCCTTGGGACGTTCTGCGGCGCGTCCTCCTGGCACGTCCCATCTGTCGAATAGTTCTGGGGCAGCTACCATCTGCTCAGGCAGCTCGAGCTTAAGATCCAGATCAGTTCGGTCAGGACTCGGATGCCAGGGAGGACTCGATCCACAACGCCTTATATATATATATATATATATATAGCACAATCGCGGCATGGCACATCGCAGTTCAGCACGGCGTAGCATCGCACAGCCCTCGGCACAGTACATCAAGATCGATACATTCAGCATTGCATTTGCCCGTCGCCCAATCAAGTGTCTTTCAAACGTTGCCATGCCTTACATTTTTATATTCCTTTCCGGGTTCGTGGGTCGATCATGTTTTTTCAACGTTCCCGACCCCCCCCACACTGGAAATGGAGGGTAAATTGAAGCCTTCGGGCTGGGTCGGGGTGGTTCGGCGGGTGGTGAGATATTGCAGACGACTCGTCCAAAGCGCCGCTTAATGCGCTGCCCCGCCAATTCTACAAGACCTTCCTATACAGTGCACCAACAGTTTCGCCCTGGTTAAGCTTGAACCACTTCCCTGCAAAGCCCGAAATTGAACGTTCGGAGGTCGCGCCGATGCACAACATGCTCCTGCGAGCACAAGGCCCAACCTGCGAGGACGCACTCACCATGGAGAACACAATTATCGAGCACATCTGCTCCAATCCGCGTGGACCGAACCGTAGCATGATTCATAAAAGTAGTGGAGCGCAACATCGATGCCAGGTCGACACGCAATCGGCACCCAGAGTCGATATGGCTTGGAGATCAACTGGCTGTGGAACCGATCGCGACGACTAGCACACGGTGGCTAATGTTACCTGTGCCAACCATGGTGCATCATACGTCCCGTCCTGTGGGACAGCACACGGCGCATGCGCACTGCTGGCTTGGGCAGGAGGAGGAGGAGGAGGACGACGACGAGGAGGAGGGGAGAGAGAAGAGGGAGGGAGTGGGAAGAAGGGGAGGAGGAGAATGATGACGATGAAGAGGAGGAAGAGGAGGAGGAGGAGGAGGAGGAGGAGGAGGAGGGGGCATCCGATGAGTCGTCGGAGGCGCCGGATTCGTCGGACTCGTTTGAGCTCTCCGCCTGGGCCTCCTGCACCTATGAGCGAGGCAGTGAGGGGAGCGAGGCAGTGAGGGAGGGGAGCGAGACAGGGAGGGAGGGAGCCGCCGCCTCCGCCGCCCCTCCTCTGACGTCCCTCGCGCTTGAAGGACGCGCCCCTCCCGCGCGGCGCGCGGAATTTTCGGGAGCGCACCCCGGAGCGCCCCCCCAAGACGCCCCCCGAGGGCCCCTGACGTCGTCGCGACAGGAGGCTGTTGCCCATTTACTCCCCTCCCTCCTCCTCATCTCTCCTCCTCCTCCTCCTCCTCCTCCTCCTCCTCCTCCTCCTCCTCCTCCTCCTCCTCCTCCTCTTCCTCCTCCTCCTCTTCTTTTTCTTCTTCTTCTTCTTATTATTATTATTATTATTATTAGTAGTAGTAGTAGTATTATTATTAGTATTAGTATTATTATTATTATTAGTATTATTATTATTAATAATATTATTAGTATTAGTATTATTAGTATTATTATTATTAGTAGTATTATTATTCTTATTACCATTAGTATTACTATTCTTCGTATGAATATTATTATTACTATTATTTTATTATTATTAATAGTATTATTATTATTAGCATTATTCTTATCATTCGTATTATTATTATGTTTATTATTCTTATTATTCTTCTTATTCTTCTTCTTAGTATTATTCTTCTTCTTCTTCTTATTCTTATTATTCTTATTAGTATGTTTCTTCTTCTTATTCGCATTATTATTCGTATTCTTCTTACGATTATTCTTATTAGTATTATTCTTCTTATTCTTATTATTATTCTTATTATTAGTATTTTTCTTATTATTAGTATTATTATTTTATTCTTATTATGTTTCTTATTATTATTCTTATTATTCTTGTTGATATTATTATTCTTATTATTATTCTTAGTCTTATTCATATTATTATTCTTCTTCTTATTATTATGATTATTCTTATTATTCTTCTTAGTATTCTTATTATTATTCTTATTCTTAGTATTCGTCTTATTATTATTATTATTATTACTCTTCTTCTTCGTTTTATTATTATTCTTCTTATTATTATTAGTATTATCCTTCTTCTTAGTATCATTATCTTATTATTATTCTTCTTCGTATTATTATTATTATTCCTCTTCTTCAACTTATTATTCTTATTCTTCTTATTAGTCTTCTTCTTCTTCTTATGATTCTTCTTCTTCTTCTTATTCTTCTTCTTCGTCTTAGTATTCTTCTTTTTCTTCTTATTATTATTATTATTTTTCTTCTTATTATTCTTATTCTTATTATTATTCTTCTTACTACTATTATTATTCCTCCTCCTCCTCCCCCTCGTCCTCCTCCTCCTCGTCCTCCTCCTCCTCCTCCTCCTCCTCCTCCTCCTCCTCCTCCTCCTCCTCCTCCTCCTCCTCCTCCTCCTCCCCCTCCCCCTCGT